GGTTTCCAAATGTAAATCGACGAGCTCTATTGATTCCACGGGTCTATTTTATCACAAGACCCTTCCTTATCCCCACAATGCCCCAAAACCTGCAAAAAAATGCTAAAATTGCCAGAAATACCCTGACCGATTCGCTTCCCAGCCGATTCCAATTTCATTCTCATGGTTTCCCAACGTAACTCGACGAGCTCTATCGATTCCACGGGCCTATTTTATCACAAGACCCTTCCTTATCCCCACAATGCCCCAAAATCTGCAAAAAATGCTAAAATTGTCAGAAATATCCTGGCCGATTCGCTTCCAAGCCGATTCCAATTTCATTCACATCGTTTCCAAGTGTAGCTCGATGAGCTCTATCGATTCCAGTCGTCTGTTTCCCCCTACGCGCTCGTTATCCCCAAAAAAAACCAAAATACCGCTAAAAAATGCCTAAAAAACACGAAAAATTGAGAAATATCATCCCCGATTCGTGCCTAAGCCGATTCCAATGAAACCAGTTAGGTTTCCAAGTGTAACTCGACCAGCTCTATCGATTTCAGGGGTCTATTTTATCACAAAACCCTTTCTTACCCCCAAAATGCCCCAAAACCTGCAAAAAAAGCTAAAATTGTCAGAAATACCCTGGCCGATTCGCTTCCCAGCCGATTCCAATTTCATTCTCATAGTTTCGAAGTGTAAATCAACGAGGTCTATCGATTCCAGGGGTCTATTTTATCACAAGACCTTTTCTTACCCCCAAAATACGCCTAAACCTGCAAAAAAATGCTAAAATTGTCCGAAAAACCCTGGCCGATTCGCTTCCAAGCCGATTCCAATGGAATTGATTATGATTGTAAATAGGTTTCAATTCGCTCTATCGATTACACACCTGATTCATGAATTTGGATGTCTGTGCTTAAAAAGTTGCGAATCAGTTGGTTGTTGGTAACCAATGATGTTTAAAAATGAAAATTGTTGCACTTTGCAGGTTTGTATGTTATTATTAGGAAAACAAAAAATGATTACAATATAGAGCAGAATTGTTGATGGAAGTTATCTCAAAGGAAATAAATTTAATAAATAAATTAATAAGTGAAAATTGTACTAGAAAAGAAAATATTTTTTTCACTTTGTTAAATCTTGAACGATCAAGTTAGTATTATAGAAATTAGAGAGATGATCAATTTTGTAAAGAAAGAATTTATGATTATAATTTCCATGTCAAAATATATTTCATATGTTGCTAATTGAATTACATTACATTTTGAATAATAAATTGTATATATAAGATTAGTCCTGTTTCGAGGGGTCAGATATTCATCTAAACGCATCCTGTGGCAATGGCTTTTATCTTTGAAATAAAAAATTGTTAAAACAAAATCTGATATCATAAAGAAAAAATAAAATGTAAAAGAAAAGGGGTTGTTTTTTCGATACGATCATCTACAAGATTGTATCATCCTTTGCTTTTCATCATCTAAGTGGTGTACCTGATTGGATAGATGAGAAGATATTATATGAAAAAGTTATTTTTCTCGCCGGATGTCGTCAAATGAATTTTTTCTATATGACGATACTGTAATATCTATTGGTCGGTTTGAAATATTCTCTAATAGTGAAGAAAAAGACGTCATTCATTTATTCTCAGTTAATCACATTGATAGACAACAGCTATTTATTCAGTCACAAATTCTGGTACTGCTCTTGGCTGAATCAGTAAATTGTTTTTACTACAATTTAATTATATTTATATAGTCAAATGACGTCTGATCCAAATTCACATAAAGTAGGTAAGGATATCTGGACACTTACTGATCTTGAAGAAATAGTTGCTGCTATTGCTTCACTTGGCGATCGTTATAAAGAACTAAATCACGAGACTTGGCGGTTAGATTCTAAAACAAAATTATCGACTTCACTTTCGGAGCAACCTATTAAAAAATTAGAACTTGATAATACTGAAAGAAGGCGCCACTCTTTGTACAATATATGGAGATCAACAGTTCATTGCGTTCCTGAACGTGTCAAAAAAGAATTAGAAAGAAGAAAGAAAAATATAATTGATGAAGATAATGATAATATCAGTGCAAAAGAAGAAGTATCTGTTCAAAAGAATAATAATGTACAATTACTGCCCGATCCATCATTACCATTACCTGAACCGCCGAATACACGAACTCGTAAGGGAAAAATTGTAAATGGTAATATTGTTGAACAGTCAACTGTCAGTGAAGTATCATTTATTTTGACTGCAACTGAATGAAAAGCTGTACTTAGTTGTACAAAAAAAGAATTGCATAATGGTTGGACAAAAATATTTTCCGACAAACTAACTTCATGTGGAATTACATGTGCATTATAGTTCTTTAAAGTCCATATCAAAAAAGGAGAAAGAAAACGACGTTGTAAATATTTTTGGTGTCGTTCTAAGTGTACTGGTAAGTATTGTACTAGATCATATTTTATTAAACTTGCAGATAGCGTGGATTTCAACGGATCACCAACATTTCGTGCACAAATCTCAGGTACAGAAAGACATGATGCTGAAATTGCAACAATGAAACGTCAATAATGCGGAGAGGAACGGTATCGTGTCGGTAAGAAGTTGTCTTATTTATTACACTTATAAATTATATTGTGATGATCTATTTTTTTTAGGAAAGCGAGCAAACGAAATTGGTCTTTTAGCAGTATTTCGTGAACAAGTAGAAGCTGCTGATGAAAATTTGCTCGCAGCAGGGAATTACACTGAGTGTAATACAATTGAAGTAATAAAAAAAGCAACGGCCGATTATCGTAAAAAATATCAAATAGACGAAAATATCTACACCGCATGTCGCATTATTGCTTCTGCTTATCATAAATCAGATGACACGTCCACTAGTGTGAAAGGTGAGTGAGTAATATATTAGAAGAAAATATTTTGTCTTTTTTCTTAGGATACGTTCAAGTTTCTGGTGAAATGCCATTTTGTGCACATCTATTTTCTGAACCACAAATTGAGTTATATGCCAATTATTGTAAAAAAGAAAAATATTCATATGTTCATATCGATGCTACGGGTGGTGTGTTAAAACGCATTTCTGGACAAGGTCAAACATTACTTTATGCAATGGTTTTCAAAGATGGAACTGATTCTATTAATACTATTCCACTTGCACACGCATTTCTTTCGAATCATACGGTTCCTAGTATTACTTATTTCTTAGGAAATTTAGCCCACGAAATTACCGACTTAAAAAAAAAATTAATTCGTCCTTCTTTTTTTGTAATTGATTTTTCTGCTGCTCTTATGAATTCTATTCTTCAAGCATTCAATCAAGAAAGTATTAATACTCATTTAAATCGATGTTGGAATGTTTTAAATCGAAGTTATAACACTGTACAACTGCGAGAATTATCATTTATACATTTATGTTGCGCTCATGTAATTAAAGCTATAGCAAGAAGCTTAAATGCTGCACGTATAGATAAAAAAATTCGACGAGGTATATTACATATATTTATGCTTATTTTATGTGGCAATAATCTCAATCAATTATATGATATTCTTGGCTTAGTGATTAATATATTCGGTGACCCAGACGAACAGAACGCAAAAGAAAAATTCGAAAAATTGCTCTCTCTTGAATTAGATATAGATGAAGAAAGTGTTACTTTATTATCTGATCACAAGAAAACATTAAAAGAAGCGAAAAAGGAAAATGATAAATTAAAAGTTGTAGATGAATATTTTCGTTCAAGTACTGCTATTATCCATCAATCACCTTTTAATATAGAAGCTATTCGACGTTATCCTCATCTTAAAACTCTTATTAATAACAAATTCAAGTACGATACAAATGTTAATCCATTATTTTCTCCACTTCTTATACGCATTTTCTATCGATGGTGGGCGTATTTGCCATTATGGACAGGCGTACTATGGAATTTTGAAGAACGATATTCAAATAATCTGGAAATTAATGCATCTGTTATATATAATCCAATTCGTTATTCAAATGCGGTTATTGAGAGTTATTTTCGTACATTTAAAAGTAGCATTTTAAAACACAAAGTTGGTACTCAACCACAAAAAATAATCGAAGAACTACATCGAAGCATTCAAGTACAACTGAAAGCTCTTCAATACAAAGTAACATAAAGTTCAAAAGGAAGAAAACGAAAAATGAACCGAAATGGAGGTTGGACTAAAAAAAGGTATTGGTAAAAATGTCGAAATTTATACGGAAAAGCAATTGATGTATTTGCATCAAAACGTAATCTTTCGAAAACGAAAAATGCTCAAGCGAAGAAAGTTACAAAAGGCAGCAGGTATAATCTTTAAATTTAAAATACTGTAACATTATTTCTCTCTTTAGTGAAGAGGATACCGCCTCGAGCGTTTCATCATCAGATCAATCTTCAATTCCTCTAGATGAATTAAATGATAAGATCTGTTCGAGGTAAGAAAAAATTATTTTTATTCATATAAACGGATATTTAAAATTTTTTTCCAGAGAACCTTCTGTGTCAAGTAACAACAGTTCTCGATCATCCTCACCTAAACCTGTTATAGTGGTAAGTAACGAATATTCTATTAATGATCGAGTGAATTCAGATAAATCGACATCCGACGATCAACAAAGTAAACTTCCAGTTAAAATTGACTTTGATAACGACGACCTCAACAACAACATGTTTTCCATCCTGGACACAATGTATTCTAGTGACAATCGTATGTATTAATATCTAAGTTTTGGATTAGGAAGATGAATTTTTCTTAATCTAGAATACACGTTAACAACTGCTCAACCTTCGTATCACCCAGAGGCACTAACTGATGGTCATTTAATGCGATGGCCACGATTTGGAATAAAAGAAGCCATTTTCAGAGGTAATTAAAGAATAAAAAACTAATTTTTTGCTCACTGTAGGCAATTTCATGTAATCTTTTTTTTAAGGTCGATCCTATACTCTCACTAATACTTGTCCTACAGATTCGGCATTATTTGCATTATATTTTATATATAAAATTGATATTAATATTGCTGGGGAATTAAATGATGCGCCCGAAACATCAGCATATTCAACACTTGTTAAAACTTTTCGTACAGTTGAAAAAGAAGGTTGGGATGCTGCTCGTCTTAGCTGGTTGCACGAGCATGGTATCTTACAACATGTCGCTGAGAAAAAAAGTCTTTTTGGCTCAGCAGACAAACAAGTATTTCGTTTTCTTACGTGTGAACAACAGCATTCTTCTCAAATTGAATGTTCAAGAGTTCAATGCAAAAAAAGAAGACGTAATCGAACAAACACAGAATTGTGTCTTTTGTGAGTATATGTTTATTCGAATTGTTTTTTTGAACAATAAAATTTTGTTGTTAGCACCTTTGAAGATTACATTCGAGATTTTAATAATGAAACTACCGATGCTTGTGATATAATGATGGCACGATCTGATGAAATAACTACAGAAGAAGCACGTGAATATAAATATCGAAGTGTTACAATGCTGACAACTGATGGACAGCCAGACGAGTATGATTATGCCACGTTATTTTATCTTTTCTAATAATATCGAATTTTTTTCTTCTTTATAGACATGCATGGGTATGTAATGCCACTGCTCATGTCTCTGTGGCTACTTTTACACATAGTCATCCGCCGATTATCATAGTTAACATCAGATATTTACCAAAAAATAAAAAAGGATCTGATGATGATTGTCCTCAATTACTTGACTTAAAACGTGAGATAAAAATCAATTCTATAAAGTAAATTATTTCAACATTTAATTTTTTTTCCAAACTTTTTGTAAATTTTATTGTCAGATACAGACTGCGCGCGGTAATACATCATAGATATAAACCTGTTGAACATTTTACCACTACTCTCCTCGGTAGTGACGGCCAACTATATTTATACGACGATTTAGAAAGTGTAAAAAAAGTGTCAACTTCAACAGACAAAATAGTCTATGCAATTTATACTCAAATCTATTCACTTTGATAGTTATTGTATTATTCAATTGTTCCTTTCTTATTTGTTTTACAACTAATATTTCTGTTAAAAAATTCTGTTGAAGAAAATGAAATAAAACATGATTGTCAACAAAAAAATACATAGGATAATTGATCACATATCCAAATATGATTATCTATTTTTCCAATCAATTCATCGTTCATCAATATAAAAAAAAAGAATGAAAAGAAAAGTTTTTATTTGTAGTATATAAACTTGAAAGATTTTTAGTCAACATTGACATAAAATGATTGATCAATAAGAGTAGTTATAAACTTTAAAGCATTGATTCTATTAAATTTACAAAAATAATTTGATATTGAAAGAGTAATATGTATATATTTAAATGGTCATATTATTATTCTTCCTCACCCTCAGACATATTCGAATCAATAAATAAATGTATTCATTGAAGAAAATGACACAGTGCCATAAGGGATAAACAAGATGACCGATTGAATAGACGTCAGCTCATAATAGACACAAATCAGACGGATATATGTCTATGTCGTTTTGATTGACTTGTCAACAATAACATCTCTTATTTATCAATATGTACAAAGTTGAAGCTCATCATCGAAGAAAAAAGGATAAATGAACAGAGGACTAAATAGAAAATCATGTAAAATACAACTCATTCATATATGAGAAATACTCGTAATATTTTTAATAAATATATGTTCATATAATAGTGTGTATTCATATATACTAAGATTCTTTTTCTTTTTCATTGCAATATCATTGTTTTGCTCATAAATACATCAAAGAGAAAACATATAAAAGAAAGAATAAAATAGTCTAACTTGTCAAAGCTAACTCATTGAAAGTATTCATTATCAAAAAGATTACATTAATGAACAAATATGTAATTTAATTATCTATTGTATCCATAAATCTTCATATATATAGCCAAAAATTCAGGATAATTTTCATTCAATAAAATAACTATCATGTACTCAATTGTCTTCTTCTCTACTCTTTTCACATTCGCCGTATCTGCTCGTGTAAGTTAATCTCATTGATGTAAGTCGATACTTATAATTCATTTGAATATTATAGATTTATAGTAATTATGAGCAGTACGTCGAATATGAAATTTCAAACAAAAACACCACCACCACCATTATTCCTCATAACACCACCACACCTCTTGTCACCACCACCATTATTCCTCATAACACCACCACACCTCTTGTCACCACCACCATTATTCCTCATAACACCACCACACCTCTTGTCACCACCACCAAAAATATTGTTGATAAAGCTAAAAGTGCCTCAAAAACAATTAAAGATTATACTGAATCTTTTGCTATTCTTTTTCCTTCTATCTTCGGTGCTATTACGGTAATTTACGCAATTTTAATGTATGTAATTAAATTTTATAAAAATAATTTTAAATTTAAAGTAAGACATTATTTAAAAAAATTTTTATTAATGGTAACTTCTTTTAGTGGTCTTGGGTAACAATTAAATCACCGGCAGAATATGAACGTCGTCGACGAGGAACAAATGGTAAATAAATAACGATCAATTTCTATTTGTGAAATTTTTTTTTCTTTTTAGAAGAAGTTACTTCAAATGAAAATTCGCCACGTATTGAAGAAGTATATAATTCAATAGATTCCATTGTATAAATTTTCTTTTTTTTGTCTTATGTATATATCTTATTTGTTTGTCTTATTTATTTAATAAATTAAAAAATATTTCTTTTAAAAGATGAAATATATTGACTTGTTTATTTGATGTTCTTATATCAAATCGATGTATCTTTATCAACTTGATGATAAAGAAAATAGCAAAAAGATATATATCTCGTTTGTGATGATCAAATGAATTGTTAGTCGTGTGTCGAAGAGAACACATTCGCGGGATATCTTTTTATGTATTATAACAAATTTTCACTCTTTTTTTCTTCCAACCATTTCTCATTGTGTTTTTTGATAATTGTTTCTTCGATACAGACGTATATATATAATAGGCAATTGAAGAAAACATTTTTTTTGCCCGATTTGTTATTCACGTAATATTTCGCAACACAAATTTCAATCATCGATATCAATATTCGTTTCCATTGAATCAAGATGCTTGGTGTTTCTAAATCAGTATTCGTGTATTCCATCATTAACTGCATTACAGTTGTTGCACTTGTCTCTATAAGAGAATTGGCAACTGATGATATCATTGTTAATATCAATAAAGGTTATGCTCTTCAACGTATCGGTACTTACTCAACGAATATGGTAGAAGAAGTTGTGCACACATTTTTATCACTTGATAATTTTTGTGCCGTACAAACAACAAACGCTGTTTGTAAATATACTTCATCATCGTCAACGACAAACATTATTGAACTTGCCACTATAATAACATCTGATCATATAAGAGACACATCATTTAGTTACGACAGAGATAACGTGTCACAATTGATTGCTAAAGATTTAAACCGTGTTCTTGTACAACATAAGTCAGATGAATTTCTTCGAGATACTGAATCAAATGTTCATTTTATTAATAACAAATTTTATTATAACAATAATGCCGCCAAATTATCACCAGCAACAACTTCTATTAATGCCGTTGATAATAATAATAATAATAATAATATACTACAGTTTCGTGCAACATCAGTAGATATGATTATTAAACAAATTAACAACAACAGAATAAGTTTTGAATATTTGTCTCTTGTTGATTTAAAATTGTTTTTAACAATTGTATTTTCCAATCTTGATAATTCGTATAAAATTAATGATGTTGAAGATTCTCTAAATGCTTTTTCTCAAATAGCCGTTGGACAATCTATCTATGCTTTACGTTATTGTGGATTAAATAGACAACATTCATTATCCTCAAAACCATGTCTAGTAATTTCAACATTATTTATACGAATTCCATCAAATAGTCCCTCAGTTTATTCAATTTATCGTTTGTTTCCATTACCAGTAGTTACTAATGATAATAAATATATTTATTCTGATCTTCCAAAAATCATAGGAATTAATTCTATTGAACAAACATTAATTAGGTGGAACAATCAATTTAATAACAATAAATGCACATTCTCACCTATCGTTTTATGTCACATCACACCTATTTCAATGTCATTATTGTCATCGTCATGTCTGTCTCAATTATTTGACGATTACCAATCTGTTTCAAGTATGTGCCAAGTAAGTCGAACATAAAATATTGAAAAAGCCATATTACGCATTGATGATTGACTGTGGCTATTGTTGATACGAATCGTACATTTTACTGTCAAGTTTATTCCAATCTATTTTAATTGACTGAAACTATGTCAATTGATGCACCAGCCATTGTACGTATACCGTGTCATAAGACAATGATATGTCCGGATTTTCAATTACCTACCACAACGTGTAAAAAAAATCGAATTATCGTCACACCTGGTTTTGAGTTTAATATTATAAATTTACCTCAATTTGTCGTGCCAATTAAAAACATGACACAAACGCTTATGTCACTTCATCATATACAGCTAGAGAAATCAATCAAAGAATTGATATCGACTTTCTCATTAAAACAATCAAATTTTCAAGACACACTTCGTGAATTTGCATTGTACATTTTAGCCGGTGTATGTTGCATCTTCATCATGATCTTCTTCTATATATTCAAATTAATCAAATATAAAGTACTCAAACCAATAAACAATCTTGATTGTCAAGTTCAAGACATTGTTAACTTTTCATTTCCATGATTCTGTCTAACTATTGCTATTTATACTAATATAAATTGTTTGTTATATATAATAAATTTCCTCTAATCTTGTAATCAAATTAAATTTAAAAAAAGTTGTCAAACAAACTATCTTGAGAGTAAGAGCATGAAGGCATCCAAAAAGAAAAGGGATTCCTGTAGTCGATAGAGCTCGTGGAGTTACATTTGGAAACCATGAGAATGAAATTGGAATCGGCTTGGAAGCAAATCGGCCAGGGTGTTTCTGGCAATTTTAGCATTTTTGCAGGTTTTCGGGCATTTTTGGGGGTAAGGAAGGATCTTGTGATAAAATAAATCCCTGGAATCGATAGAGCTCGTCGAGTTACACTTGGAAACCATGCGAATGAAATTGGAATCGGCTCAGGAGCGAATCGGGGATGATATTTCTTAATTTTTCGTGTTTTTTAGGCATTTTTTAGCGGTATTTTGGGTTTTTTGGGTCATATGAAGGGTATGGTGGCGAACAGACCCCTGGAATCGATAGAGCTCATCGAATTACACTTGGAAACGATGAGAACGAGATTGGAATCCATTTAGAATCGAATTGGGATAAGAAATACTCGAATCGGGTGACAAGATATCCTACGTGCAGTAGCACGACAAAGGAATATTTCAAATTTAGATCGTTTTAATGATTTAAAACAATTACAATGTGATTATGAAAATGTAACAAAGATTTCAAGATCATCCAATTGGCGGTATTAATGAACTTATTGATTATGAATATATTTTATCCTATTTGCGAAATGAAAATAATGAAAATGATATAAACGATTATTTAAATAGTCAACAAAACTCATTTCTTAAATATTATCGAAAGTTTATCGTTGTGCAATACGTGATATATATATATATAAGTCAATTTGATTATTTGGAACATCTATGGATATTATTTAACAATCATATTTAGAACAACACGTATTGAACAATTACGGATTGATTCATCAATAGATACACAATGTCCCTTAAAACTGTTTGAAACATTTGAACGAATTGAATTTCCATTGGCCATTGAAACTGTATTACGGGATTCAACTACACATACAAAAACATTTTTTGATCATTAATTATACTTGGTTTTACATCAACAACAACTATGATTAACATTTCATAATATGAACATAATACTCATGTGTGGTGACACACATCTGTTACGGAGGGGAGGAATGTTAGCTGTGATTCACTCTCAGTCCTACCCCTTGATGTTTTTCCATCTCTCTCCCTTATCCTCCATTGTTATTATTTTTACCTCTCCTTCTTTTCTTCTCTGTTCTCTCTTTTGTATTTCGTAATATATGTGATCAAGGACATATTTTATGCACACACTTTTTTCTTTTGAAATAAAATAAGATAAGCTCGTCGAAACGAGCTAACAGTCTGTTTACTCAATAAAATCGAATTTTCTTTCGAAAAGAAAAAAAAAACGTTTTAATAGGTTTGATTTTTATTTATTCTTTATAAAATGTATGTTTTGTCTTTTTTATACTTGTTTGTAACTTTGATATATTCATTTATTGAATTATTTTTTAATGGAAAGGAAGTGGTATATTTGAACATGTAAAATCTTTCAGTGAAGTTGTTTTTCGTACTAGACGTCTGAGAGCAATGGAGGATGTGGGTGTGGGTGTGCGTTAAAAGAGCATCCATGCCAACACCCACACTCATCTAAATAAACCTTCGCTTTAAAATATTGCTATGAAACCATTTAAAAAAACATTCCCTTGTTTCATGATGACGATGAAGTGCAGAAGGCCGTCTAACACAATTGTTTTTATTGTAGAACGAAAGAGTTGTTCAGCAATTTAAGTGAAAAAAATGCAATCTAATTCTTATGTATAAAATGGAGTCATTTTGGTCGCCGTTGAGAGTAAAATTTTGCATTTCAGTCGTGCACAGTCGGTTTTCTTTGTTCGACTAGCAATCCTACAAGCTATTATTAAACAGTAAGTATCTACGTAATGCATTTGATAAAGTGAACGATTCATTTGAATCAAACGAGAATATGGATAGTTTCGAACTAGAGATGTTGGTCGCTGCTTTGTTTTTGCCAGATCCGTCGAAGATTGAACCTGGCCCTCTTCACGAATTGAATGGTTTTCTTTTGACCCGTACCAACCTGTCACGGGCTGCCCCAAGGGGGAAAGTGCAGACTTGGAACCCCCAGCACCTCAGCACCATCTCGGCACCTCAGCACCATCTCGGCACCTCAGCACCATCTCGGCACCTCAGCACCATCTCAGCACCTCTTCAGCACCATCTCGGCACCTCATCACCTTTTCAATACCTCAGCACTGTTTCAGCAT